TGTGTGTGTGTGTGTGTGTGTGTGTGTGCGTGTGTGTGTATAAATATATATATTTTATCACCAAATAATTTATAAATGCATTTTAGATATGTTATATGCATTTTTATATTTAATTTATGCTTTTTAATTTAGTTATTAATTTTTTATTTACAAAAAATAATAAAAATTGCAATTTAAGGCCAAAAAAGGGTTTTTTTTTTGCAAAAATAGTAGGACAAGGAGTGCAAAGTTATGGCCTCTAGAAGTTTGCATACATTGAGCGTGCAACCCATGACCCAGTGACCGGGTTGAACGGGTCAACAGTTGAATCGTTTGGTCGAATGGTTTTTGACCAAGTCAATGGTTTTTAACTGTCTGATGGATCTTGACTGAATCAGACCTAGAATATTAGTTGGGTGATGGTTCAAACGGTTTGACTAGTTGAATTGAAAACAGTGCTGATAATATTGATTGTTGTATAGTATATGAGGCAAGTAATTTATGTAAATTGCAAAGGATCCTAATTAGTGAGAATAATATAATTATTTTTTTATGGTGGTTCTATTAATTCTAACATTGGGTCTTATGGTTGTGTTTTTAACTCTGGTTGTTTTTTAGGTGCGGCTGGGTGATTGTGTATTCAAAGATGGTATGGTAGAACTGCAGTTGGTGGCGTTGTATAATGGTCTCCAATTTAATATGAGACAACCCTAACCCATAACCCTAGTTATTAAAACCCCAACCCTAATCTAATCCAACACTAAAACTTTAGGCTAGGTTAGAATGCAGTTGGGTTCAGGTTCGGCCTGGGTTGGGTTTGGGTTAGTCTCAAGTTGGCCCAAATTTTCTACTTCTTTTTGTTAAATGTATTTATTTCTTAAAACTCTAAGGGCTCATGTTAATTCAATATTAGCATTATTATATAAAAGATCATGGTTATATATAAATACATATATACATAATACACATGCTAAGTACTTACTTGCATAAATACATATTTATGTAATATTTATAAATACAAACATGAAGTTAAGTAGGATTGGTGAAGGCCTCAACCCAAGCCTACATTTTTGGGCTGGGTTCAAACTAACCTAACCCAATTTGCAGCCCTAGACAAAGTTATAGGGATATTGTTATTAAATCAGATTCTGGTCTTTGGTTGTTTCTTTATAAATGGGAATGTAAATAGTGTACCTTAGTCCTATTCCAGGTTAGTGGACGATGTTTTCATTATTTTGTACAGGTCTTATTTTATGAATTTTGTGTCTTTTTGTTATGTTAATAGGATTAAAAGTGTAGGCCATTTTGGTTCTCTGCCATAGGTCTCATTCTTTCAATTCTTATTCATTCTGGGCAAGAATGAATTACATGAGAGTGTTTGGCCATGTTTGGGTTAATTCTCATTTTTTCTTATCCTTATTCAAGATGAAATTTTAAAATGGACAAGAATGGGTAAAAATAGGCAAAATGAGAAAATATTTCTATGAACCAAACATTTTTTTTTCAAATGATGTTTTTTTTTTCAGACTGACAAGTGTCGTATATTGTTCATTTTCGTTCTTCAAAAAAAAAAAATTGTGCTAGTATTCATAAACCGCCAACCTAGGTCTCCAACCGTCAATGTTTACCAATTGACATGGATGTTTTGTAAAAGTACTTTCATAAAAGTGCTTTCATAAAAGTACTTTCGTAAAAGTGCTTTAGTAAAGTACTTTTATAAAAGTGCTTTAGTAAAGTACTTTTATAAAAGTGCTTTCATAAAAGTATTTTTATAAAAGTGTTTTAATGTAAAAGTGTTTTCATAAAAGTACTTACTTTCACAAAACTACTTTTCATAAATTTACTTTTATAAAAGTCCTTAAGTGTAAGAGTACCTTTATAAAAGTGATTTAATATTAAAAATCAGCCCCATAGCACAAAAGTACTTTCGTGTAAAAGTACTTTTATAAAAAATGCTTTCATCTTAATATTTTATCTTTATTGAATATACTTAGGGGTTTCAATGGATTGGGTTTGGATTGGACTTGGTTCAATTCAAAATTAATTTGAATAGATTGGACAGATCAATAAGACATATTGAATTGGACCATTCCAAACTTAATAGTATAAACTATTTATTGGATTGGATTGAACCTGGTCGGTTTGTAGTGGATTTATCTTGGATTGGGTCAGATTGAACCAATATCTGTTCCATAGACATAAATAAGAGTACGGGTGTCAATGGGCCAGGTTTGGGTTGCACCCTATCTATATTAAAACCATTTTGAACAAATAATTTAGACCGTCTAGACATTAAATTGGACCAGTCTAGAATGGTCCAAAGCTAGTATTCATCAGATTGGACCAGTCTAAACATTAAATTGGACTCATATATACTAGACTGGATTGGATTGGACCAAAATCTGGTCCATTGATATAAATTTGATGAAATTGTTAATTGCCTAATAAATTCAGCAAAATAATTTCATTTTAATTTGTTTTAAATAGGTGTTAATTGCTTCTTTTAAATTTTCTTTTATATTTTCCCTATGTAACAAAGTGTAAAAGATTCTCTGGTTTTGTCTTTTCTCTTTTTTATATTTTACATTTTATGCTATTGATGTGGGACCCACGTGATTGATATTTGTTTTGTTGGTGTGGGTCTTGCATGTTTCAACTATATATCTACCAATGAGTATTGTATGTATGTCTTTATTATTATTTTGGTTGATAAAAAAATGAATGAAAAATAAATTTGGAACCAAATACGTTCAAAATATATTATCATGCTTGCCATAAAAAAAGAATTCATTTTTTGAAAAAAAGTATTTAGTCGGATTAAATTTTGTGTAATACGTCTGAATTTTTTTTTATTTTTTTGATATTTGGTGCCATGCACGACTCATAACCCCTTTTCCTCAAATCAGTGGTAGAGAAACCGATTCTGCATCAATGCTAGAACAAACCAGCTAAYATACCAACGAGCCATCCCGCCTATATAAAAACCCAGTACCCAATATCGGTCCTAGCAATCGGGATATTTATTTCTTCTGTCTTGAATTGTGTATTTATTACTTCTGAAATGGTGCTTACTTTGATGAACTTTACACAGAATACACAACCTACTTTGTGTATAGTGAACAGTTAACTATAAATATAAGGACATGTAAAAGCAAAATTCTTGGCTGATTCTTATGCTTTTGGCAAGTGGATGAAGAAATGCATTTCAAAGTGTATATAACTATATGTTACCACAAGTAACCTACAGAATACCACTAACTTGGAACTAAAGCCATGGCCTTCTACCCAACTTGAATCAATGGTTAATCTTCAGTTGGAAATTCACCATTGATGTTATTTCTCATGGGATATGGCTCTGCTGCTTCACTTATCCCAGATTCTATACACAATTTTATCAACAAGGCTGAAGTAGGAGTTGCTCCATGACCTTTTCATGGCTAAAACAAGAAAGGGTACCAGAAGACCTGCTGCAAAACCTGTACCAATACCAGAGTAAAACCAGTTGCTGTTGACTATATTGCCCCCATTCCTCTCAACAGTTGTTTGTTTATTTGAATCCTCACCTTCATCACATTTTACAGGAAGTGGATCACCACATAGACCTGGATTTCCAGTGTATGAGTACATGTCAAAAGTTGTCAACTGCCCCTTGAATGGAATTGAGCCTGATAAGTTGTTGTTTGACAAGTTGAGATAACTCAAGGAAGCCATGGTCGACATGATAGAAGGAATGGAACCAGAGAGCTGATTGTTTGAGACATCAAGAGATGACAATTCATGCAAGCTCGCAATTGTTTCAGGAATTTTTCCAGTGAAATGGTTTCTTGACAAGTTCAAAACCATCAACCCTGATAGATTTGTTATTGATTCAGGGAAGTCTCCATATAAATTATTTTCAGACAGGTCAATGCAGGTTACAAGAGAAAGAGTTTTGCTGTATGTAAGGAGCAAGCCTTTCATGGACAAATCCAAGCTCTCCTCGTAGTATATGACAATGCCTCCGACGCCTCCGTACAGCAAATACTGGTTTTCCTCTTGTACATTGGCCATTGCTTTAAGATTCCCTAAGCTAGAAGGAATGCTGCCAACCAAATTGTTATCTGCAAGATCCAACACTTGTAGGGAGCTCATATTGGAAAGTTGGGATGGAATTCTACCAGAAAATGCATTTGACCTCAGCCGAAGAATTCTAAGAGCAAATAGACTTTCTCCGATCCAATATGGAATTTTACCCAACAATTTGTTGTTTCCGAGATCCAGCGTCTCCAAGCTAGAGCAGTTTTGTAGGGATGAAGGGAGCTCCCCTGATATCCCATTACCACCAAGGTGCAAAGACTGAAGCATCAACAATTGGCCCCATGACAAAGGGATTGACCCTGATAAATGATTGTCTCTAAGGTCTAGGGCATTTAGACTAGAACAATTCCCTAAGCTTGCAGGGAGGTTTCCTGTTAAATTGTTTCCCGAAAGACTAAGGACCTCTAGCAGCAACATGTTTCCTATAGAGGTTGGGATATTGCCTGTTAGATGGTTATTTGAAAGAGAAAGAAAAATCAAGTTGGGAACTACAAAGCCAATGTCTGGGGGGATAGATCCAGAGAATCGATTATTAGAGAGATCCAGTGACACAATCTCCACTGCTGGAAGAGGTATGGGTCCTTCCAATAGGTTGGAGCTGAAATCAACACCCACACCATGGATGAGGTTAAGTGGGTTTGGCAGTTTACCCTGTAATTGGTTCAAAGAGACATTCAATACTACATTTATATTGGAGGAAACATTCCAAAACCAGTAGGGTATTGGACTGGAAATGCTAGCATTTGAGAAGTCCAAATCTGTGAGTTGCTTTTGAGTTTCAAGCCAAGCTGGAAAATTTGGA